CGCTTTCAAGGACTCGGGCAGGTGTGCAGTCAGCCTCTTGATCAGACTCTCCGCCTCGTCCCTGGACACCCCCTCCGACTTCCGGACTTTCCATTCGCAGAACCCTTTAAACTCGATCGACTTGGGGATGAACTCGCCTGATCCCGAACCCTGTGCCGCTTCCAAACGTTGGAGGCGAGCATCGTGGTCGTCGAGGCGGGTATGGGCTGCTTCTGTCCTCACTTCATTCTTCTTGATCCTTTCATTGACTGCCTCGATGAGGGGGTTCACTTTTTCATCGAAAATGCCACGAATCTGATTCAGAAGCTGAGACTGGTCCCCCATTGGCACTGTAAGTTGTGTGACTTGACCCCTGGGAGTGTACAGTATCCAGCTGTGCTCCCTTGCTCCTCCTCCTCCTCCTCCTCCTCCTCCTCCTCCTCCTCCTCCTCCTCATCATCATCATCATCATCATCATCATCATCATCATCATCATCATCATCATCATCATCATCATCATCATCATCATCATCATCATCATCATCATCATCATCATCATCATCATCCGTCTCCTTCTCCTCCTCCTCCTACTTCTCCTCCTCCTCCTCCTACTTATCCTCCTCCTCTTCTTCTTATTCTTATTACTATTTTTCTTCCTCTTTCTCCTCCTCCTCCTCCCCCTCTTCCTCCTCCTCCTCCTCGTCCTCCTCCTCCTCCTCCTCCTCCTCCTCCTCCTCCTCCTCATGAGAAAACCCAGCCGGAATCGAATATCTCCCTGTGTATCTGACCAGCTCGCTCCCTGAGCAGCTGGTCTGCAAGGGCTCAACGTATTGTTTCCAACGCCTGGCGAGGCCTGCCAAGCCACCCCCATCGCTGCCCTCCCCGCTGTCTCCAATCGCTGGCCCCGATCGTTGCCCCCCATCGTTGCCCCTCGTCGTTGCCCCCACTGTTGACTCCCATCCCTGCCCCCACCCTTGACTGTGAAAGCTGCACAAGGTTCACTGGTCTCTGGGACGCCTACTTGCGTTGGCGTGGACACGCCAAGCGTCCAGAATTTTGGGGGAGGGGGGTCGACCTGCCTCATGCCATGCTCGAACTCTCGCTCGTCATCCAGCGCCTCCTCCTCCTCCTCCTCCTCCTGCTCCTGCTCCTGCGCCTCCGCCGCCTCCTCCTCCTCCTCTGCCTCCTCCACCTGCGCCTCCTCAACCTCCTCCTCCTCCTCCTCCTCCTC